CACATTATATTTTCAGTTTTAATTCAATTTTTTTTTTAATTCAGTTTCTTTGTGAACAACAATTCATTTAGACGTAATTTATTGCATAAAAAGTAATGTTAATATCTTAATCTTTCACTCTCTCATCCGTATTTATAAAATAATATTTAAATGAAAATTCCGCAATTTTTTTAAAATACACTTAGGTAAAAAAAAATTTCAGGCAAGTTATTATCAGAGGTCAGATGTTGCATTGCTAGGTTTCTATAACTACTTTAAACATTCATCTGATGAAGAAAAAGAGCATGCTTTAAAATTCATCGAATACATGAATAAGCGGGGCGGAAAAGTTGTTTTACAAAATATTTCTGCGCCCCCAGTTCAGGAATGGCCTACAGTAACTGAAGCTATGGTAGCTGCTCTTGATTTAGAGAAGAAAGTTAACGAGGTATACAAAACTAAAAACTGGAAATACCCTTATACAACTTTGTTGTTGTTTTTTTATATTTAGAAACTCCTCACACTCCATCACATTGCATCTGAACAAAATGATCCCAATTTTGTCGACTTTTTGGAAACTAATTATTTACAGGAACAGGTAGATGCAATAAAAGAGATTGGAGATCACGTTACTAATTTGAAACGTGTGGGAAAAAAATTAAAAAGTATTAAGAAAAACTATTTTGATTATTAAAAAGTATTTCTTTTTATTGTTTTAATGCTATTTTTGTCTAAGATAGTCTAAACTGCTTGAAAATTTAGTAATAACAGTAAAAGTGACAATAAAAATAAATTTTATAAATCCATTATGACCAATGGAATTAAAATTTGAAAAATGGCCAATTAAGAACACTAAAACACAAAATTCCATCTAAAAACGTTTTAAAAAACTAAAATAAATTAGTTATTCTGTTATTAACTTCTGTGTAATACGTAACTAGAAAGAAAACTCTAGTCACTTTTCGTACATTATTTACATTCATTTTATTTCCGGAATTGAATGTAATTATTTTGTAGACAATTTCCTTCAAATTTTTGAAGATGAATCTCACTGCAGCTGCTGGACGCTGCACAAGATTAGCCAGGTTTAAACTCTTGTGCGTGTGACAGCGGCTATTGTGGGCATTCTCGATCTTCGATCTTCAGGAGAGCACACATCTTCATAGGAATAATGCAAAATTTGTCTCGTCATTATTCAAGCATTCTTGGAAATAAGAAGAAGCTTGAGAAAACTGCAACAGAAGTTCGAAATGTATAATGTCAATGTATGATCCTGTAGGATATTCAATTGTTTTTGGATTTTTGTAGTTTAGCGTAAGTTTAACAATTTAAGAAGAATATTCTTGGTAGATTCAATAAAATTTTTGTTGAATCTGATAAAAATATTTGTAGTAAAGGGTAGTTATTAATCGTAAGGTTATTAAACATTGTAGTTTTTAACATATCTACATGATAGGGTCGAAGTACTGATTATAAGCAATATTGTCGTTTATTTTGTGATAATAATTGAAAACATTTTGTATGGCCTTGAATATAGATATATTATAGATTTTTCGTTGTGTTTCACTTTAAGGGACCTTTCCAACGATACCCTAATAGACGACGATGGGGTGGGATGAAGAGAAAAAATTGTTCATTCCTATTTCAGTATTAAAATATCGAAAAAACTGCTAAAGTTACTTTTTAATTTATATATTTCGAAGATGCGATTAATATCATTAAAGGAAGGACACTTTTAGGGTTGTACATAGAGGGACAAAAGAGTAGAATGCTTAGATTTGGGGATGATATAGTAATATTAACATCAAGCAAGGAAAAGTTAGAGTTAGATTTAATTAAAATGGAAACGATACTCATAGATGAGTACGTATAAGAAACTAGGGGATTTCGCTGATTTTCGATGTTTAGGGAGTATTCCATATTTAAGAAGTCAAATAACTTATGAATAGACAGGATCGAATTCCTTTTAACAAAAACAAATAACTAGAAATAGTAATGGAACATAGGGTGTTATACATAGACATCAATAAGAAATAGATGCGATAGGTTGGTAGGACACCTTGTCAGACATCAAGAACTATTTAGGGACATATTAAAAGCAGAAAAAGGGAGTTATAAGGGATAAAAATAGATGTGAACTAGATTACTAAATTATAAATATATAGATAGTTCTAATTTTCGAAAATGCAAAGATTAGCTTATGATAAGAAGTAGAGGTGCATGTTCAACCAGTTTTCGAGCTTAAGACCATATGATAATGATGACGATGATAATAAAAATTCACTCAATACTTTTTTCTTTTGTTTAGTTTACTATTTTAACTAATTAATATATTGTACGTACTCTTAAAACTACAATTCTATCGGAAAATAATTTTTATCGTTTAAAGATAATTTTATTATTATTCTCCTGCACATTACGAAATTATTTGTGTGTTTCTTGCCCATTTTGCTTATTTCATTTCTTCATGTTGTTTAGGATATTTGTATATCGTAAAAAAAACATTCCATCCAACATCGTCCTTTCTATTTACGTGTAAATGTAAATGTGTATAGACAGCTTATACTGCGACATTGCAAAAGGTTAAATAAAAACTTCTTATCTCGAACAGAAAGGCGAGCAAAAAACTTACAATACCATGTGGTAACGCATTATTATTGAAATAAAAAGATATTTTAGTGCTATTTCGTTAGTCGCGATGAACATCAACCGCGGGATGTTTCATTATACGTACGATATCCAAAAAAAAATGTAGTGATTATGAATTTATATTTGTGTTATAAATGAAGCAATACTTTAGTTTAGTGCGTGTTTATAATATAATAATATTTAATCAATAAAATATAATTTTTATAGTGTTGTTTAAACTTTATTGTTAACTATTTCTAAGTGCGTTAAAAAGGGAATTTTACGGGTTACTCTAGTGGTAAGTCTTGTTATCACACTCACATATTCTATCTACGTATTTATTAGACAAATCAAAGCTAAGTTGAAACCAATAAAAAAATAATTTAATGTTGCAACCATCATCGACTTGGCTTTGATTGTTAATAAATTTAAAAAATGGGTTTGACGAAGTTTAATAAAATCTATTGTTTTACTCGTTGAGTTTAGAACTACCGTGTTTTAAACCAAGTGAAATTATTTATTAATCAAAAATGTGTTGTGAAAGTATCATTTTCTCAACTTTCTCAAGAGACTGCAACTGTAACAGGTGAGTTTTTATATTACGCATTTTAATAAGTTTTAATTGTTTTAGAATGTCTATCGTCAATCAGATAGTTTTGTTATAATAATTTTCTTCAAAATAATACTATATTTTGCGAAGTTAAATACGTATCTACTCACGCATTTTAAGTTTCCAAAGTTTTAATACCTAAAAATACTTTATTATTTATGGAATTAAACTATTAGATAGGTACTTAATAATTTTACTTCTCTGTACGTTTAGTCCTGTTGTACAGTGCTATATTAAACATTTTCAATGTTTTTGAGCTTTCTGTACATGTACCATCATATACCGAACGATGTAACAACAAATTGACGAGAGTACGTGCGCACGTTTAAGTCACGCACGCGTAAACTGTTTGATTTAATGTTTTCGCACTTTTCTACTTTCTTTTTTACAAATGAACACATAATACTGAGTTCTTTAATTTGATAAGTAGTTATTCTATCTGAAATAGGTATGCACCTACGATTCTGCGATATTATTTAAATGTGAAATTCCCAAACCTACGTTCTCTTATAATCTTTAGGGATGTTCGAATTAATAAATATCCTGATCGCATATTTTATTTTGGTCATAAAGATTTAAAAATGTTCCCCTCTTTTTAATTAGATACATTATGTTAAAAAGACGTAAGTAAGGCAGGTCTACGTTATAATATACTGGGAGGACCAACTTATCAGTATTATTCAATTCTTAGAAAATACTAATTAAGTCGTTTTTCATCCAAAAATGCATAAATATATTAAAGTTCTATTATTTCTTGGACGCTTGGTCTTTATCTCCAATAAAAATTATCACGATATTTTTATTTAATATCAAGTTATTAAAGTTTTGATGCACTTAAAATTGTATGTGTTCTCATGCCATCGTGAATAGAGGTAAGCAATGCAGTGCGCAATAGCGGAAGAAGTTACTACTTCTGCCTCATCGTAATGTTAGCAACAGCCGCACATCACGAACACAATAATTCGCGACAATCAGCTCGCAGGTTAACAAGATTATACAAAATATTTCCTACACAACGTAAATATGTTTTGTGGGTATTGTACTTACCTTACTGTATGCATCAACACATTTATTATACACTTTTATAACTTATTGTTACATAAGCACCTTATTTATTATATTTTTCTATATATAACTGTCTTATTCAAAGTTGTATTGTTCACTTAATAGCTAAATAGGGAATATAGGCACCACTAAATAAACTAATAATTGCTTTGAAGTCTTTATTAAAATATACTTTCTTTCAACAACATTTGACGAACAAACAATATCCATCTTTATAAAGTTACAGTAAGTTCATTTTTAAAATCACACAATGAACTAATACAAAATGGAATGTTCATCACAAACAAAAGTCTTTAAATAGGTCTCATACTGAAATCATTTAACAAAATAAAAAGAAAATGTAAAATGAACAAAAAAAAACAATAAAACAGGTTGAACACATTGCTTTTTGGTTAAACAATAATAAATAAGTATAGAAAATGGAAAGAGCATACGTCTAAATACGCGTAAAATCCGGTGCATCCCTCAGAGATCCACTTTCGTCAAAAAATAAAGTACATAAAATAGCCTGAAGACGGTTTCTAGCTGGTTCAAAATTTGGTTCTAGAGCCAAAGCTGATCTGTAGAAAGAAATCGCTTTTTCCAAATCACCCTACAATATAGAATTGCAAATTTTAAATCATAAAGAAAATGAAAATGGAAAATACAAATATAAATGACCACTTTTTTGCTAAGATGAAGTTTATAAAAGTTCAAAAACAATTAAAAAAATTGAAAAATTAAAATCGTGTTACTGATTGAGTCAAAAAAAATTTCTTACTCTTACCAAAACGGTATGAACATTAGCCAAAGTGAAATGATTAATCACAAAATCTGGACGACTTTCAAGAGCCAAATACGCCGCTTCCAAGGCATCTGAAAGTAAACCATTCCTGCAAAAAAATAGCCACGATAAATATAAAAGAAAATTAAATCAAGTACAACATGCAACCTTTGAAGAATATTTGAAAGACTGTTAAGAGGCAGATCCTTCATGTCGCTAGGGACAAAATTCAGTGCCTGTCTTATACATGTCACAGCTTCGTCCACGTCCCCAACGATCCTCCAATACAGTGCAGCAGCAGTTGCTAAAATCCAAGAAGTCACATTCTATAAAAACAAACAAATTCCGGTTTAAATTCATAAACCTAGAAAAAGAAAGCGTTGCTGTATATACCTCTTGTAATGCTCTACTTAATTTAACTCCCAACTCCTGAAGGCTACTCCTATCATCGTTGGCCATTAAAGTCAGCCATTCCATCAGGGTTGGTTCGGGAAACTTCTGTAACTTTTTACGTATAAGGGTACTTGTCAAGTAGTCCAAAGAGGTCTTAGGAGCAGGAGCAGCATCAGAACAGTAAGGTTTTAAGGAACCCTTTTCATTATTAGATGTAGATTTCAGCAGAGAACTTATACTGAAAAAGACATTATATAATAATAGTTTAAGTTGTAAAAGAGCCAAAACATCAAAACAGCTTACTCCATATTCCTGGTGGCAATTGACTGCCACATTGAACTGAAATGAAGCCAATCAGAATCTCGAATGTCTCTACAAGTAGTTGCAGAAAGGGGATAAGTACCAGATTTGTCATAAACATGAAGCAATGGTTCTGGTAAAGGATCATCAGTTAAAGAAACAGATACTACAAAATAATTCATCATACTCAAAGAATATAAACTATAAAAGTGGTTAATTTTTACCATAAAAATCCCCCAGGACATTTTCATTTTGTTCTTTTGCCTCCCCATTTCCACTGCCTAAAGAAATCCTCATATGAAAGGTCTGATGAGGATAATTGTTCATGGTTTCCAAATGGGACTGATCAGGTTCATTTTTATCGCCGTTCATGAAATTGTTTACAAAAGAACGACCAAAACCACCCCTGCTTTTACCACAATTTGAAAGGGAAATCTTTTCTTTCTCGAGAACTACAAGAAACCATTACTTTTTTTTAATTTTGTAAGAATTAATTGAGAATTACTTGGGTCCTTTATAGCTTCAGTCCTAAAGCATTGTATAGAAGCAGTCTTGCACTGCTCCCCGTTTGCAGAACAAATAACCCCTTCACCCCTGAAGGAATCCTTATCCGAACACATGCCTTCTGTGATCTTATCAATTTTTATTTTTTCATCTTCATAACTTCCTAATTTCACACTACAAGCCCAAGTTTTAAGTAGATTTTCAGCCAAACCGTTGTAATAATTAGGTTCAACTCTTAGAACATTTTTCATATAATACATGGCAAGTATTGGGTTATTCTTTTTATAATGAAGCAGAGCCAGTAGAAAGTTTGTGCTGGGTTCCACGTAATTGACTTGAAAAGCTAGCATTGCAAATTTGAGGGCGTCATCCACGAGATCCAACTGATGTAAAACTGAAGAAATCGAAATAATAACGACATCTGTATAGTCCTTTGGGACAGTTTGAAAAGCCAGATCGAGACAGTTTAACGCGTTTTTTGTATTTGAACGTATTTGCCAATAATAACTTGCTAACGTTGCAAGTAACCACCCAGGAGCTGTTTTCTATAATTAGATACATATTACAAACAACAATTAATAATTAATTAAGTCAGAAACCTTGTACATGGCAGTAATAATTCTTTGGCCAATTTCAGCCTCGTCAACTTTACCATCGTTAATATAATTTACGAAATGTTTATGAAAAAAGGGATGCATTTTCAACGGTTTGTTGAAGGTTTGTTTAACGCTCGAAGGAAGATAAATTTTATTAAAGTCTTTGCCAGAATGTTCACAAATGGGAGGATACCATGGAAGGGAATGTTCAAAACCATTTGGAAGATCTATCAAGTCTGATATCGCCTTAGAAACCCTAACAGAGAGAATTGTATATTGAGCAATTACAATACGTAAAAGACAAAAGTCTTACTGGAATCCTTTATTTTCTGGAGGCAAAAAGACCGGAATATTAAGTAACTCTTTGGGATTAGGAGGTAGGTTCCATTTAACACATTCTTCTTTACTTGGCCATGACGTGGCATCAAAATATAAATCGTTTGATAAAGAAAGAGTGGTCGGATATTTTGGATGAAAAGCAGGGGGAATATTGAACGAACCTCCCTCGAAATTTATTGAATTCAATCTGCTATTACTGCTGCTTTCGTCCATGATCTCTTTCACATCTCCTTTTTTATTTTTCTTTGCTGAGAGTGTTTTACCTCCAGCAAAATTTTTACTTCGCGACATTTGTTCAGAAATCTTCAACGTTTCGCTCTCGACATTCTTCAATAGCTTTTCTAAATTCAAATTCATATCAACGTGCAATCCTACAGCGTTCCTAGTATCGGTAAAGTCACAAATAATTGTTGATTTTGAATCGGCTGCATCCCGTTGAACGCAACGCTGTCCTCTGTGAGACAAAAAGGTTTCAATCTTATCAGCACCGTATTCGGCAATCCTTGTTTCAAATGGAACCTGTTCCCACAGGAGACGTTCTTGTAAACGCAACCACTGCTGTTGCTGCCCGTGATATTCGTGCAAATCCGATAAAATTTGTTGTAAAGAGCTAAAATTATTTTTTTATCAATTTATAAGTCCTTTCCAAAAGGGTTTGTAACTTAGAATTTTGTTTGAAATAACAAATAAATAATTGCTTACTCATGAAGTTGTGACAGAAGAGTCTCCAATTTCTTGTGACATAACGTAGCATATTTAACAGTAGCAACAATGTCATAGTCAGGTTGCAATCTCAAAACATTATCATAACATGCTACAGATCGATTGAAATCTGTCAGAGCAGCATAAACATTACCCAGTGCAAGATAATTTAAGGGCTGAGCAGGAGCATGATCTATTGCAGCATGTAGAAGAATTGCAGCATCTTTATGATTATGACTCTGATGAAAAATTCCAGCTAAATTAAGAAGTGGAATGTCCTGATATTCTCTAAAATTAAAACCAAACATGCTTTCTTTATAGGAAACCTTTTAAGGCACGTTTAATGGGTAATATACCTTGGAACAAAAAATAAGGCTCTTCTAGCACACTCAATAGCCTTGGGAGCATTACCTTTAATTCTCCAATATAAAATACCTAGATTATAATGCAACCATGAGGAAGTATTAGCCTCTAGTTCAGAAACAATGAGACTTCCAAATTCCTCAGTAGATAATCCTGATAGTAGATGTTTCAGTCCAATTTCAGCAGTCAAAGTTAAATTATGCCTATTTATCATAGAGCCAAGATGTTCATAAGCAAACATACTAAAATCCATATTAAAATGTTTACTACAATCAGGTTCCGATGAAGTGGTAGACCCATCATAGTTTCTAGCTTGTAATTCTTTATGAAGTGCTTCTCTTTCACTTCCATTGGAACCAATACTTGCATAGAGATCAATTTCACTAAGAGGCTTTTCTGCTTTCAGGCAGTTTTGATCTTGGGAATAAATTTTTGATTCCAAATCAGATGTTCCATCTAAACCTGCCCATTTTTGGTCTATTTCATTCTTGCGATTAATGAGATCTTTGTATAATGCATTAATGTTGTTTTGACGTGTTTCCTGGTCTAACAAAGCTATGAGATCATATGGTCTTCTCAAATGAAAAGGAGAATCCAACTAAAAAGTTAACACAACAAAACATAATTATGAAGTGCTACTGTTGTTGTAGTATTGAAATTCCATATTCACTGATGCTACTACAAAATTCAATCTTATCAGTTGGATAAAATAAAACGTTTACTACAACGAAGTGCAAGTGTTATTGTTTATAATATTTGTTCTGCAAGCTTTTAATCCTTTGAAATATTTAACTTACTTGTGTTTGAATCCGGCCGTTTTCAGTTACAACCCAGTGAGTAGTAGCCGTTATTTGCAAAGTGAAGTAAAATAATAACACAAAACATACGTAGAGCCGACATTTGATCATTTTTCTTTTCAAAAATGCATAAAAATCTTATCTTTCCATTATTGCTTTAGCAGCTTTCAACAAAAGTTCATGTGACAGCTGTCATAACAGAACATGCGTGCTTATTATGCTTGTTATGCAACCAGTATAGCAGATGTGCCTGGTAAACAGCATAAACGGTCATATGATACCTCTTCAAAATGTCCTTAGTTCGGCAAAATTTTTCTAAAGAATGCGAAGATGGAATAAATGAACAAATAAATTTAGAGCTTTTTGCAAGTTATACTTACATGGCTATGGTAAGGTCCTTTTTTACACATTTTAAGTAACGTCATTATTTTTAAAACCCTTTTAATAGCTCCTTCTTCTAAGGTTCTATTAATCAATAACAAATTATAAAATAAATAAACTACGCATTTTTTAGCGTTTCTTTTACTTTTTTTTTAATTTCTTTAGTTCAGCCCATTTAGTTAGTTAGTTCTATTATCTTAATGTTAGTAATAAGTAACAGACATTTTATTTTCCTATTAATAACATTAGTTAAAAATAGATACAAAAAATTTTATATTCNGAACAACAATTCATTTAGACGTAATTTATTGCATAAAAAGTAATGTTAATATCTTAATCTTTCACTCTCTCATCCGTATTTATAAAATAATATTTAAATGAAAATTCCGCAATTTTTTTAAAATACACTTAGGTAAAAAAAAATTTCAGGCAAGTTATTATCAGAGGTCAGATGTTGCATTGCTAGGTTTCTATAACTACTTTAAACATTCATCTGATGAAGAAAAAGAGCATGCTTTAAAATTCATCGAATACATGAATAAGCGGGGCGGAAAAGTTGTTTTACAAAATATTTCTGCGCCCCCAGTTCAGGAATGGCCTACAGTAACTGAAGCTATGGTAGCTGCTCTTGATTTAGAGAAGAAAGTTAACGAGGTATACAAAACTAAAAACTGGAAATACCCTTATACAACTTTGTTGTTGTTTTTTTATATTTAGAAACTCCTCACACTCCATCACATTGCATCTGAACAAAATGATCCCAATTTTGTCGACTTTTTGGAAACTAATTATTTACAGGAACAGGTAGATGCAATAAAAGAGATTGGAGATCACGTTACTAATTTGAAACGTGTGGGTGAAGGTCTGGGGGTATATATGTTTGATCAAAAACTCCAAGAAGATTAATATTAAGGATAGGTATCTTAAAAACGCGCACTTTACCTTACTTATAATATGTAGTATAAAATATATCTGTTACAAAAGTGTTTATCAAAAATAATAAAAAGTAAATGTCTCATATTTTTGGTGCAAAAAATAAGAATTTTCGTTCGTTTTTAAAGCAGACGTCTAGAACTATTTTGTGTAACTGTTACTATTTTTGCTAAAGTTTCGGCATATATGTTATTAGTTTTCTTTAGAACTTTTATAGATTGAAGGATAGTTTGCTCATATTTACACTTTGACTTACTTTATTATTTTCAAATAATATACGATATTAGACATTTATTGTTAGTATACACTATTGTAAGTACTTTACAGTCAATATTTAAAGCATGAATTTGTTAAACACAAATTAAAAATCTAAAACCTCTTTTGCTTTGTTTTAATAGCAATCAGTAACAATTAAAAAAATAAAAGACTCGATGAATCAGTGGTTGATGTATAATATAACTTTATTGCGTCGGTATTTTGCGTTCATTATAAGGACAAAACCAAATAACTACGTTACATAACTAGATTGCATGCAAAGGATTTATCCTTAGATGTAAGAATTAGGAGGTATATCGTGACCCCGGATAACTGTTTCGCCTTCTTTTTTGCTGAAAATTCTGAACAGTTCTCTATCAAACAAATATTCTCCGCAGCCACATCCGCGTCCGCACTTAGTCATTTTACTATATCGCACCAACAAACGCGTTAATTCATTTATCGATTCATCCTACGTATTAGAGAAAAATAAGGGATAAACATGTACTTACTTACATATACATTTTATGAATCTAATAAGTAGAACGGAATTACCTGTTCGCGTACAAATTCGCCTTGAATTAAATCAGCAAGACCAAAATCCCTCTCCTTTTCCGCAGAGTGGCATAACTTTACTAATTGCTGTAAAAAATATCATAAAAAGGTCCCTACGATTTTTTTAAGAAAAGGTCTTACATCTCTAATACAGGTCTCCAGTTGGATAGCATTTATTAGAACATTCTGAATTCCCTCCCAGTTTTGATTACAAGGTGGTTCTATCGTATTTAAATTTACTACCCCTCCTCTCATCGTCAAATATTTTATTAATACGTCTGCATGCCCTAGTTCTTCTTTGTACATTTTCTTAAAATACACGTAACACCCAGGTAAAGCAACGTCAGTTCTTGCAAAAAAACAAGCCATTGATAGATAAATATATGAAGCTTGAATTTCTTCCAAAATCTGATGATTTAAAGATGTGTGTAAAACTTCACTTAAGGGCTTCCTAGGGGGTTCGGGAGGGCAAGACTCTTTTGAATAACGAACACTGATGTAATGGTCTGCAGAATTGGCATTTTTAAGTAAATTTTTACTGGAACTACTCTGTTCTAGAGATGACAAATATTTATAAGAGAACTTTGTTTTACTGTTATCATTCACAAGAAGGGGGTTCGAGCTTTTTTTTAATTGGGGGGATGATTTGTAACGGTTTGGTCTGGTTTTTGGTGTCAAGAATTCACTAATTTCTTTTTTAAAACAATTTATCTGTGGTTGAGAATTTAAATTTAATAGTTTTGTTAACATTTTTTGTAATACAAGTAATTTTGACAAATTATTAATTCTAAAAAATGACGNACAGCAACGAGAATTTTGCAATTAATGTTACCTTCCTGCTATAGTAGTAACTGCATAATTAACCATCTGTCTATTATTATGTAATGTTATTCAATCTATTTAAAAATCGCATTACATCGCATATTTTATTAAAAAGAGATTTTGAGGGCTTGAGGAAATTAAAATTATTATATTAAATTAAATTAAGACATTAATTAAAAAACATCTATATCATCTTCATCTTCATTCTCGTTAGCTTCATTTTTAGGTTCAAATTTTAAAGTGAGTCCATACTTAGAATAAATCATTTCACTACCATCGTCTCCAAAAACCACGTCGTGTTCACCAATTTTATGCGTTTTCAAAGATGACTCCTGTTTAAAGGACATAGAACAATATGAACAATTAAAAGGTCTCGTTTGCTGATGAACATAATTGTGCTTATAGAGGGAAGAATACTCGGTAAATCTTTTGCCACAGCCCTAAAATAAAAGAATTAATAACTTTAATGCAAATACAAAATAGTAGAGATAATGATAAGTAAAATTTGTGACATTGGTAAATGCGCAGATGTTGCTAACTTTACGAGGTAGAAATTTGCCCTTCTCAAAGGCGTCTGTGTATATAAAAAGTTTAAAAACTTGATATTAAATATAAATAATACGACATTGAATAATAATATTATATAATTTATATTGTCGATAAAAAGCAAGAGTCAAAGGAATGGAACTAAAAAAAATTGTTCAAAATTTATACAGTAGTTTTTACGTGCTGGGCACACTCGCATTCCTAATATCTGTTAAATGTGTTAAATTTAAACGCTGAACAAAAGTAAATGATAAAACAATTCTATAATCATATAAGCAATTAATTAATATAAATTTTGAAAAAAAAAAATTAATAAAACGAATATTTCGAAAAATGAATATTTACTATAACGTTGCAAACGTAGGGCTTCTCTCCTGAATGTATTCGAATATGATTCTTGTGATTCGTTGCAGAAGAAAATCCCTTCTTGCATGTTGAACAAACATAAGGTCTTTCTCCTGTATGGGACCTTATGTGAACCTTACGAATGTTGGAAGTTGTAAATGATTTCCCACAACCCTCTATAGGGCACATAAAGGGTTTTTCACCTGTAAAACAATACTTGCATTGAGTTTTAATGTAATTTTTGTATGTATTTTACCAGTATGAATTCTGTTATGTTTTTGTAGATCTCCTGATGTTTTGAACTGTTTTGGGCAAACTTTACAAGGGTACGGCTTCTCCCCTGTGTGTATTCGTAAATGAGACTTGAGGGAATATCCTGTAGTAAAAGTCTTCACACAGTGGGTACATTTAAAGGGCCTGTTACCAGTGTGAACACGCTTATGAACCTTTAAAAGAAACAACACTTGAATTTATATCAAATTGCAATTATTAATGAGCTTACTGAAAGGTGATGTGAAGTACTATATACTTTTCCACAGCCCACATATTCACAAACCCATTTCTTTGACCATTTTTTTGTTTTTGGCTCTTCAGTTGTAGCAACATGTGTATTTCTATTTACTGCAAAGTTGTTAGACTTTTCAATTATAGACTTCAATAGGTCAGAATCAATAATTGCACAGGTCCCATCTTCTAACTGAATTTCCTGGTAATTGGTTTCTAAAATACCACAAGATTCAACTGAAACATGTAAAACATAAATATTATTTTAATTATTACCCTGACAAATATCAGCACTGTTATCATCTTGAAAATCAGTAGTAAACTCTCTATCCAGTTGCTCATCATCATTCTCCTGAATTTCACAATCAGGAACTTCATCTGACTGACAAGGAATTAAACTACTATCTAAACATTTTGATTCATTATTGTATTCTGGCTGTTTCATAAGAGGCAATTTCACATACCTGTTAGAACGTTTTGCGTTAGATAAATCTGACCATCTTCTGTAGTAACAAACATGTTTGAAACAGTAGGGTAAATTACACCTAATGGATCGCTAACACTTAAAAGTGCATTTGAATCACACCGTGCTGTATTTTCAACTTCTTCCTCGTTTTCTTCGTTTACAGTAATGTACATTACTGGATTTTCTTCCTCTTCTTGCAATTCATCTTCATCATATTGAGCAACTTCATCATGATGGGCTTTTTGCAAAAATATGTTTTGATCACCTACCACAGTATAGTACTGCAATACGTAATCTTCAGGGTTGTCCTCATCTAGAATGAAAACTCGCTTTATAAATTAAATTTCACTCACAATATTGAGAACTAATTAAAAACAAATCTTTTTTTTATAGAGTAAAATATTGCGTAGATGCCTTTTGTTGTCAACATTGAAAGATGCAATTTATACAAAATCTTAATATGTAACGCTGTAGCAAATGATTTTTATATAAATGAAATACAAAAAATAATTGAAATTTGAAATATACAAATTTGAAAACAAATAAGCAAAGAATCTTGGGAAATTACCCATAACCCATAACGATGATCATAACCTGTAAATAAATTAAATGGTTGTGCAAATCAGTGAAGTTAGGCTTAAACTACGAAAGCAATACCATGAAGTTGCACAGTACGATTTTAAAAAAACACATATGTACTACAAAAAATAAAAGGCTGATTAATTAATTTCAACTCAAGAGATAATTATTTAAAAAAATTATATAGAATCTGATGTTGCTCGCGATTTACGAATGCGATACCAATTTGCTAAAGCATACACAATAACTTAAACATAAAAAGCGCTCCTAAAATTATTAGGAGACGAAAGGTATTTACTAAGATTTAAGAAGTAATAATTATGTAAAAAAGTACGTAGAATCTGATGGTACCAAGGGCTTTCGAGTGCGGTGCCAAATTGGTACATTCCGGCATTGCTTTTGATAAAGCGCACACAATAACATAAACATCAAAAGCGCTCGTAAAATTATTCGAAGGAGAAAGGTATTTACTAAGATTTGAGAAGTAATAATTACGTACAAAAGTACGTAGAATTTGATGGCACCAAGGGCTTTCGAGTGCGGTGCCAAATTGGTACATTCCGGCATTGCTTTTGATAAAGCACACACAATAACATAAACATAAAAAGCGCTAGTAAAATTATTCGAAGGAGAAAGGTATTTACTAAGATTTGAGAAGTAATAATTACGTACAAAAGTACGTAGAATCTGATGGTACCAAGGGCTTTCGAGTGCGGTGTCAAATTGGTACATTCCGGCATTGCTTTTGATAAAGCGCACACAATAACATAAACATAAAAAACGCTCGTGAAATTATTCGGAGGAGAAAGGTATTTACTTAGATTTGAGGGGTAATAATTATGTAAAAAAGTACGTAGAATCTTATGGTACCAAGGGCTTTCGTATGCGGGGTCAAATTGGTACATTCCGGCTTTGCTTTTGATAAAGCACACACAATAACATAAACATAAAAAGCGCTCGTGAAATTATTCGGAGGAGAAAGGTATTTACTTAGATTTGAGGTGTAATAATTATGTAAAAAAGTACGTAGAATCTGATGGCACCAAGGGATTTCGAGTGCGGTGTCAAATTGGTACATTCCGGCATTACTTTTGATAAAGCGCACACAATAACATAAATATAAAAAGCGCTCGTAAAATTATTTGCAGATGAAATGTATTTACTAAGATTTGAGATATAATAATTATGTAAAAAAGTACGTAGAATCTGATGGTACCAAGGGTTTTCG